ACAAGGTACGTTTCTATCAGTCTTCCTACCATTATGACCAAGTTGCGAAAACAAGGTCAAACAACTTCTAACAATTACAGGTTATAATAAATTTCAATGCACCTAACATCCTAGACAAACCCGCCAAATGCAAAGAAATTAACATATAGTCAACACCAATACCAGAAAAATACTTCCTAGATAGTGGAGGATAAAATGTTCACCATACACCTGAACCCAAGTACATACTAATCAACAACTTTATCATGGATGGTATTAATATTCAAAGACTAAAAGAATTAATTCGCAGAAGCTTCATATCACCCTGCCGTGTGAATATTGGTAGCAAAATGTTACCAAACCCGCCAATTAACACAGGCATCAAAAAGAAAAAAATCATTACGATTCCGTGTCTAGTTATCGTAAATTTATATAACTCAGTCGAAATGATTTTATGATAAGGACTCATTAAATTCAAACGAATTATCATACTAAGTCCCAACCCTACAAAACCAGACCACATACCTAAAAACAAATAAACTATACCTATCTTCTTATGATTCAAAGAAAATAAAATAAAAACCTTTTTCATTTTCAAATTTAAAACCACGGGGTTTATTTATTGTTTTTGAAAACAAATAGTTTAACTTAACTTATAAATCTAAGGAAACTAGACACTCCACACATCTAAATATGTTATTAGCAGTAACAAAAGTAAGTTTCCACCCTATCTAACAAACTTTACAAAACCATACTTTATCTCATAAAAAAAACTAAATATAACAACAACCAAAAAAAACAAATAATAAACCAACGAACTCCACGAAATCTCCGAAAAACCCATTTTTAATAATAGTACTATCTCGACATCTAAAACAACAAAAAAAACCAACAATCATAAAAACCTCAAACTAAAGTTTCTTACCCTTGCCCCAAATGATTTGAACCCGCACTCATAGGGGTTCATAAATTGAAAAAAATAATTTGTTGTTTTAGATGTCGAGATTTCAACAAACGAAAACAATCTATTTAACAACACTATTGACGGAAGAATAATCCCCACAAATCACTATATCAGAGTAACCTGCTATTTGCAGCCATATCAACAACATCTAATCATTTCACAGAAAAACTTGTATCCCCAAAACTACAATCAGACCCGGGCAAACGCTTATAG